GTTTGTCAAGTGAATGAGCAGCCTTTGAAGCCACGAGCTACCTTAAATCTTCACTTCATTTCACGTCATCGGTCCACCGACTTTATTTGTGTGCCATATCATCATCTACCATCCAATAATATTCTAGCTTATGTATTTATTTATTTATTTCTATTTTAATTAGCTTAGAATTAGGCTTTAATATAAATACTTGAGAGGATTTTATTTAGTCTCTTATGCTTTATTTTCTAGATAAAACGCTTCTCTAGTTTTTCTCTCTATTGTTGAACCCTAATTTATTACTTTTCATTAATTCAATCATCGAGTTATTTCATTTAATCTTTCGTTCTATATTTTATTCATTATGAATTCTAGTTTATTTATCTCTTTTATTTGTTTATTTCAATTATGAGTGAGTAGTCGTTTTCTAGGGCTAAGTGAGGGAAGCTATGTTTATACCTTGATTATTTGTGCTTATTTATTTATGAATTCATGAATTAGGGTTTGAATAATTCCAATTGATTTGTGCTTTATTGTGTGATTCATGTAACTGGCCAATATCATGAGTTGATTATTTCGCTAATAAAAATTATAATTGAAAGATTATGTTAGCGACCGAACTACATATGTTAATTCGTAAGCGTTAATTCCCGACCAAAGGATTAACAAGTGCTTTAATTATTCGACCTAGTTAATTTATTATTGGATTGTTTGCATTTCTAGGATTGGTATGCATGGTGGACCGAATGTATGCCTTAGACCTTTATTTATTTTAGAACAACCTTATTTTCATTATTTTCCTAGTTTAGTTAATTGATTTCAAACCACTCCTCGTTTATTGAAATAGTTTATAATAATTGGGCAAAAACTATTACAACCTGTCTCCTTGTGGGATTCGACCTGTATTTCCTAAGTCTTTGCTAATAACAGACATCGTGCACTTGCGTTATATCTTTTTATTCATCAGGACTACCTCATTTTTTATGTCGAGGTTTCTTAGGGTGTTGCCACAAAAGAACTTTTTTGATCGTATCGGACAAACTATGAGGGTCTTGTAGGTGTCCCAAAAGTGTTTGTTCGAGGCGATGATGCCATGATCGTTGATGCTGGGTGGAGTTGGGAATTTGGGTGTGGAAGTGTCACTCGTCCTCTTCCTCTTAGATTTGCCTTTGCCAAAGAGGTTCCTTATGAATCTTCAAAATCACCAAAAACTAACATTAGGATACATCATGCCAAGAGTAGACACAAGAAGCATGCTAAGTGATAAGAAGTATATGCAATATGAGTAATAGCCGTGAATCGTGGAATTATGGTAGAAGATAACAACACAACTCAAGGCATTAAAGAACACGTACAAATTAAGTCATGAGCTAAATGTCTTATGGTAATCATGTACAAATCCTAAGGAAGTCTAGGTGAATTTGGGCATGACCTCCCCTAAAATCCATGAAAATCACTCAAAACCCATCCATAATCAAACAAAAATCAATGAGGAGCAATCACAAATTTTCATCAAACTCATGAATTTCTCAATCAAAAGATAGCATGAACAACCAAATAAGAAACCAAGATATTCAAGGAAGTAAATTAAAATATCAAAAATCAAGGTATTCATGCATATTCATCATAAAAAAAGTTCTAATATCAACAAACAACCAATTGTAACATGGAAATACCAAAAACTACACAAATCAAACAAGTCATGACTAACAATTTCAATATTACCATAAATCACACTTGAGTATGTAAAACTTGGTAAAACTAAAAGAAATTGAAGAAATGAACTTGAAAAAGCTAGAATAACCATACCACAATTTTAGGAAGCAAGTCAAAGCCCAAAAATTTTAAGTCACACAAACCCTAGAAATTGGGGAAAAATTGACAAGATGTGTTTTTTTGTGAGAATTTTTTGTTGGAGATTGTAGAAAATGAGTGATGGATGAAAAATAAGTGAGAACAGGAGGAGATTGGAGCGATTTTGATGGATATTTGAGGTTAGACGAGGGGCAACAATGGTGTTTTAGAGTGAGAAAGAGGAGAGAGGAGAGAAGGAGTGCCAAAAAATGATGAGTGAAATGAAGAAAATCGCCTTCTTCAATTTTAAAAAACTGACTTGGGTTTGACAGTAGTTCGGTCGAACTTATCAAAAGTTCGGCCGGACTTCTGAGGATGGGAATCTCTTAGGTAAGGATGGGATAGATTCCTAGATCTTCAACGATCATGCCTGCATCACAATTTTGAGAAGTGGAATCTTGTTCGTATTTTCTATAATGGACTAGAACCCGAGACCAAATGTATTGTTGATTCTGCAGCAGATGGTGTTTTCCTTAACAAAACAATCGAGGTAGGGTATGATTTTCTTGAAAATCTTGCAGCCAACCCCTTGTCTTCTCCAAGAACTCGATCTAAGAAAGGGAAGATGGAAGTTGAAGCCTATTCACTCATGACATGCTCAATTAACTGCAACGATTGAAGCATTACAGGCCACTCAAGACTCTTCTTTTTTATTTGTTAATGCTACGTTTTCTCAACCTTTGCAAACTAATTTTTTTTGTGAAGTGTGTGGTGTACAAGGTCACTTGGATATCAATGTCCTCTGAATTCTCAAGACACCAATAAGATGGAGCAGGTGAATGTCATTCAACAAAGGCAACTAAATGACCCATATTCTAACACATTCAATCCAGGTTGGAGGAATCATCCTTACCTTTCATATAAAAGCAATAATGTTTAAAATCCTCAACCTTAACAACAATGGTCACAACCTCAGCAATATGTTGCAAGGCCTCCACTCCATCAACAAGGGGCCTCTCATCATGGTCCTTCAGGATTTGTTAGGCCACCTCAACAACATTCTCAAGGCAATGCTAGCACTCAAGAGCCTACTATGTCTGACTTCATGAGAATGATGACAACCATGAAGCAAAGCACTGAAGATAGCATCAAGGAGTTGAAAAACACGACAAAGCACTTGGAGAACCAACTTTCACAAGTCGTGGGTACCAACATCCAAAGGCAGCCTGGCCACCTACCAGGACAATCCGTCCCTAAAGAGACCGCCAATGCTATCACTACTCGTAGTGGTGTTAGCTATGAAGGGCCACAAATTCCTATTGATGATGCAAATCTTGAGAAGGAGAAGATTGAGGTTGTAGAGAAGACATTGGATGATATTCCACCTCGAAGGAAGGGAAAGCTAAAGCAAGTGATGTTGAGAAGGAGAAAAAGAAAGGTTCCGAGCCTCCATCTGTCAAGCCAAAGCTACCATTCCAACATCGAATGCAAAAGAACAAGGTAGATCAATGAAAGGAATATTGTCCTTCCAATAAGTGTATTATTCCGATAGAGGGTTCATAATTATTAGAAAGCTAATTCTTCAGTGAGGTCAAGTAATTGGAATGCCTAGGTGGAGGCCGCTTCCGATCAGTAATATTAATGTGTAATTAATATTACAGCTTAATCTCGACTGAACCCTTCGGGTCACACCCAATCGAGTAACCGATCCGAGACGACGAATCAATCCGAAGGATTTGATGAGTCATTAGAGTATTACGAACAAAGACGTCGGATGTCGAGCTTAGAGCGTCGAAACCGAGCGTCACGAGTCGAGTCTAATTTATAATTCAAAGAGACGAGAAAAATAAACAAACGACAAGTATGTGATAAGCCGTAGCCTCGCATTGGCCTAGCCATGCGAGTGCTAGGCTAGCCTAGGCCACGCACCATACCGAGCTTGCTAGCAGCGCATGCATGCTAGTATCGCATGCTAGTAGCGCTGGCTAGCTAGCTGGTGTGGCAAGGCTAGCATCGCTGGCGCGCTAAGCGTGCTAGCATGCTAGTGCCTCGCACATAGCAGCCCTACCGTAGCATCGCAAGGCCAGTAGCAGCACGCAAGTGCTTGGTCTCGCTAGCATCACTATGTGTGCTTGTGCTGTGCCTGCGTGCGTGATAGCCAAGTAGCACCAGCCATCGCAATGTGCTGTGCGTGCTTGCTAGTGAAGCAGCACGCTGTGCGTGCTTGCCTTGTGTGCTATGCGTGTTGGGCATCGCATAGCCCTCGCAGTCGCATCGCACAAGCAACAACAGCCAGCAGCCCGCAATGCATGCGTGGCGTGCTTGCTGCGTGTGTGCGTAGGCTGGCTGGCCAACAAGCCCAGCCTTGGTGCTAGGCGCCAGCTGGGCAGCCTTGGCATCCAAGGCAGGCTGCCAGCCAGCCAAGTGGCATGGTGGTGAGTCTTGGTGGGGACCGATGCTTAGCGGCCTTGCTTGGGGAGCAAGGGGATTTTCGGTCCCCCCCCCCCCCTTAGTGGTCCTCACCTACCTTTTCTCACCTCTTGACACTTGTCATTTGTTGATTCACTTGCATTTCAATTTGATTTTTGAATTAAAAATAAATTGGATAAAATGCATTTTACCAACTCTCCCACATGGATGGGAGACTGAAGTTCTAGTGCTCCTTTCCTTATAAATACCCATCATTTGGGTTTAGGAAGGGACACTCACTAGTAGAAAAAATGACAAAGGCACCCTACCTTTGGCACCGATTTTTAAAAACCGGTGGTGAAAAAAATGGGCGGGATTGGAAAACAAGCTGTTGGCACCGGTTCCAGCTAAACCGATGGCAAATTATCTCTTTGGCACCGGTTCAAACCGGTGCCAAATAAAAAAGATTTTTTTTAAAAAAAAAGGGGAGAAAGGGATTTGGCACCGGTTCGGTACGAACCGGTGCCAAATGTATTGTAAAATTAAAAAAAAAACCCGGATTTACTCTTTCTTTCTCTTGCTTTCATTTCCTCGATCTTTCCTCCTCTCTCATCTGATCTGCCTCTCTCTCTCCTCCATTGAAGCGTACTCGAATTTCTCCATTGAAGGGGCTTCTGAGCTTTCTCTCAGCACTTTCCTCAAACTCCTTCTCTCTCCTTCGATCTCTATAACCGCCACTTTCCCTTTCCTTTCATCTCTCTTTTGATCTCCTTCTCCTTCTCTCTTTGAGGTTAGGGTTTCTGGGTGTGTCTATTTTGAATCAATTCGATGTGCGTGCGTCTACAACAACAACAAATTCGAATCAATTTCGAACCAAAAATCAGAAATTCGAGGTTAGGGTTTTTGGGTTATTTACCTTTGCGTTATATTGTACCAGTTCTGAGCTTTCTCCTGCATTGAAACAACTTCTGAGGTAATGTTTGTTAATCAATGAAGTTTTTTAATCAATGAATATCAATTTCAGTTTCTTGCAACTTTTAGAAATTAGAAAACTCGGTTAAGATTGTCTGGTAATTGTGATAAGGGCTTAAGATCTACTATGCCAAAGGACTGTCGCCCCAAACTTGTTGAGCTGCTTGAAAGATGCTGGCAACAAGATCCTGCAAAATAGCCAAAGAGTTTGTTTTTACTAAATTTATTTTTGATTGATTATTTTGAGCTCAGGTTCCATTCTATTAGTGTTTTAGAGTTAAAGACCTTAATTTTAATTATGTTCTATAGTTCATCCACTCTACAATTACCTAGATTTACTTCATAACAAGGGGTAATTAGTATATTTTCAGCCTGTTAGTTACTCGAAGGCATTATTTGTTAGCATTTGAGTGACAGTGCTAGTTCTTTTGCTTTTGAGAATGCTAACTTGAGCCATCAACTGCCCTGAAGTTGTGAATAGTTTTCTCTAGGATCTGTTATTTATTTAAAAGGTTTTTTTGGGTTTCGCAGATCTAAATTCTTCAAATCGAAGTTTGTGGCACCACTAATCTGATATATGAAAATTATCTACTTCGTATCTCAGTTTTTTGGGGGTTACTCTGGGTTTTGGTTTGGTGAGACAATTACAACAATAATCATCGCCTTAATTTTTGTGGTTATGACAATTCTTGCATCTTTTTTATACCTGCTGTGTTCTCATGTGAGCGCTACAGAGGATTCTACACCAATCAGGAATAGGAGCAGTCAAATGGTGTCCTTGCAGTATGTATTGGTAGACCAGATTATTAGCCTTATACTGTCTTATGTGATATTATTTTGGCAGGTTCTTTTCCTTTTCTATCAACCTCATTTTTTAATTTAATGTTCTTTTATTTTATCTCTTCATGGAGTGCAAAGTTCCCTTCTCCTAAAAAATAGTACCCTCCTTAATGGTGCAATCGAAGGAAAAAGTCTTCTAAGATGGAAGTAATGTGCAATAGATGAGTAGAACAATAAATTACTATTTTAGAAGATTGTCTTTTATAGTACTTAAAATAGCATAATTAATTTCACAATAGCTTTAGTGTTATGGAGTATTATTAGTAACCAAATGAAGCCATGCCTCGTGTTATTGCGTGTTTTGGTCATTGCTTATTTTGTTATAATTGGACCTTGTGATGTCTTCACATATAATTATTAACTTCATTTTATTTTTAATCGTAAAAATTGATCAAGATATACATGATTCGGTTAGGATAAGGTTGTGACTGGACTATAAGATTTGCTTTTATTATTCTCACTCCTACAGCCAGATTAAGAATTTAATGATAGTGTTTATTAACTTATGCAATAATGGAATTGGTGACTATGGTCAAATTATGTATGCTAATATAAGTGACATTGTTAGAACGGAGATAAAGGATGAAAACCATGGAAGGTATGTGTTGAACATGTTGGGTTTGACTTTGAGTTATGTGTGATGGATCGACTTCGACAAATTATAATAACAGTAAAATTAGCAAGAGTATAAGTGGAAAGCTTGATGGATTGATAACAACAAACTGATTCCAAGGGGTGAATACCTTTAGGCTATCAATCTCACAAGTAGCTTTAGGCTACAACTCTTTCAATAGTGACTTGAAGTCACAACTCTCAAAGTGATTCATTCCCATTTCGGCCTACCAATTCCTCTCTCCCCCCTTCTCTATTTATAATAAAGCTAAAAAATATTAACCTAATAATACTAGACTTTCCAAATTGCCCCTCCTAAGGTTAGTCTATTACATCATGCCGGGTTGTTTACCCCTTCAAGTGCATGATGGGCTTGGTTGAAGTTCGAGTGTGGGTTGTGTCAATATGGGTGTTGGGCAAGTTTATAACAAGTTAATTCAGCTTAGGGTCAGGTTTGAGTGTAATAACTATCAAGTCTAACTCAACTTCCAACTAGGGTCAAAGTTTGAATCAGAAAATTCTTATTTGATAAACTTTTCAAAGTTGTTCAGTTATTCGATTTTATAATGAGTTTTTATAATTTTTGATTAGTTTTTTTTTTTGTCGTATGAATTCATTATTTGCAGCTTTATCGAATTTTATAACAATATCAAATCAATTACATGCGTTTTATACTGTTCAATTATCTTTCATGTTGGCATGCAATGCCTATATATATACATAAGCTTATTGTTTCAAACATCATTTTCCTTGGAATTCTTTGTGATATGTTAACTGAAAAACTAATATAGGTTGCCTCTTCCATTTTCAGAATGAGCCCCTTTTAGACTTGAATATGTTCCTTTCTCTTTGCACAAAGCACATATCACGACGAATGTCCATGGAGGTAATAGAGCCTTACATATAATAGCTGCTTTGCCAATATGCATTTATTTGCAACTGGAATTTGCTTGGAATTGATCATTTTGTCCTTTTGATATATATATATATATATATATATATATATATATAAATATATATATACACTTTTCTCAAATATAATATTCTTATCCTAATGTTTCTCCTTATTATTCTTTCTTCCTCTTTCTGTCTCTCTAAACAATTTAATGTAATAAACTCTACATATATAACTACTATTATACTTCAGATACGGAGGATGAGAGGTATCCTAATGATTATCTACCTCTCACTAATTTAATCATATTTTAACATTAATAATGTATTAAGAGTTCGAATAAAAATAAACAATCTAATAATAGTTATTCCAAAATTAAAGTTTGTGGTTTCCAACAAGGATATGGGCGTATGTCTACTTTTATTTAGTGGAGGTTAGTTTGGAAAATATTTGGATTATAAAAGATCGTTCAAAGTTCAAGAATTCTATTAAGTGGCATGATTATGTCTTGGGTAAGGCTGTTTCACACTAATTTATTGTGAGACATTAAAGTCGTGGGGAAAAAAAATTGGTAGGAAATTGTTTAGAGATGCTCACTCATTCTCATAAGCGTTTGGCGGGAGGCTCGACAATCGTTGATAGTTATGTCAACGATCAACATTCTCATAAGCGTTTGGCGGGAGGCTCAACATTCGAGATGCTCACTGTAGCTTTTCTTGTTGAGCATGAAGTTTAGGGTTGGGTGGATGGCATTGCACCTATGAATCCCAAGATTTTTGGTCCATTCAGAACTCATCTACTGCGAGGGTTTACCCCACTCTCCCCTCCTGCTAATCCATAAATTACAAAATTCACTTGACATGTACAAGTAGTTTTATTTATCCATCCCCCTGACCCCCCCTCTCTCCTCCCCCCCTTCCCATCTCGTGAGAAAAGCTGTTTTAAACTGATTTCAGGCTGTATGTCAAATTATGGATTTAGCCCACTCTCCCCTCATGCTAATCCCTTAACTTCAAAAACAAATTTTCATTTCTTTGATTTCACTTGACATATACGAGTAGTTTTATTTATCCATCCCTCTGCTCCCCCGCCCCCTTTCTCATGTGAAAGCTGTTTTAAACTGATTTCAGGGTGTATGTCAAGTTTGGTTTTTGCTATATCATTATTATTTTTCTTGAAGTGGCTGCGACCATTTTCCTTAAATTGTTTTTCTATGTGTAGTGTAAAAGCTTAAGAAGGCATGTTAATGGGTGCTTGTAAATTAGTGATACTTATCCTAACAAACAGTTCTTTGCATGGTGGATGACTATATCTTTTAAGATCCTTCTTTATCTTAAGACTGGTAGGAACTGAGGTTGCTCAGGGAGGTAGTTCAGTCCTGATCTGCTTTAACAATGTTGAAAAACGGTAACAAGGTCGTGCCTTTTCTTAGGTATGCTGTAACTCTGTAAGTTGCTTGCTTCCTCTTCTCATCCTTTCAATCAGAATAGATTTTTTTGAATTCTCTATGAGTGAGGGGCTTGCCCAATCTCAACCTCTTGCTATTCAGGTCACTGAGTCCCGATCTCATAAGACAATTAAGTGAGCTTTTTGTGGATAAAACCAAAAGTGTGACTGATTTATATTGCGACTGACAGACTGGGGGTGCACTGGCTGAGTACGTTGTGGCAAAGTAAGAAAGTTGTTCGACCACTGGAAGTTTCAGCACCCAAAGGTGCAGCCTACCTGTTCCTGCCCTTATTGCTCTATTAAGTTGTTGCACATTCCACACCCGACTATTACATCCACGAAGAACTTGTACAAGACTAAACAGGCCATCTTCTTTATTTAACTGAATCCTGTGATTTCAGATTATCAATGATTTGCTTAATCCGACTGGTCAGAATCTACGTGTAAGAGAAGATGCCCAGGTTTGTGTTGGTTTCAGTTATTGGCTAGAATATAATCTTTCCATATTATGTCTGTTTTTGGCACTTAGTGTTATGTCTTTTCTGCTGCTCCATTATTTTACTACATTTATTGGAATCATTAGCTGGTTCGTTGTCCATTAGAGACGATCTCAGTAATCTAAAGTGGCTTATAAAACACAGCAAGCCCATATACACAGGAGGCCAAAACAACACCTACACACATCTAGCAAACACACCATAAAAAAACAGCACCCAATCAAAAACAGACCAGCAGCCCACCAAAACAGCAGCACCATCCCACACCACTACTGTTCAGAACCCAAACAGCAGCCCAACAAGTACAGAGCAGACACCAGCAAGCCCTGTAGGAAAACAGGTAGACAAACGGCACCAGCTGAGCATAAAGTCAAAGGAGACAAACTCTAAATCCATGAGCAGCAGCTCCCAGCAAGTCCTGACAAAGACAGCAGCCTGCACAGAAAACAGACACATCTGCATCACCACCAAGAACTAGCCTAGCAACACAGCAGCTCAGCATCACAGCTCTCCAGAAAACCAGCAACATGGCTGCAAAAGGAAAACAGAGAACAGCAAAGTAGTATCAACACAGTAATATCAAGTGGGTTTTTTTTTTTTTTTTTTTTTTTTTTTTTTTTTTTTTTTAGTTTTTTAAAGTGTAATATTACAAGTTATTGAAGAAAATATATGTGTTTTATGTATATTTTGATTATATATAAGTATTTGGTACAATTTAAGTGAAAAAAATACAATTTTTTTTTTTTTAATTTTTTTTGGGCATTTTTGGCACCGGTTTTGGAAAAGAACCGGTGCCAAAAGTTTTTTTTAAAATTTTTTTGGGGACTTTTGGCACCGGTTCTAAGTCAAAATCGGTGCCTATTGTATTGAAATAATAAAAAAAAAGGCGCGCCATGGGTAATTGGCACCGGTTAACCGGTGCCAAAGAGAGTATTTGGCACTGGTTAACCGGTGCCAAATCTTTAAATAGCCACCGGTTTTGAACCGGTGCCAAATCTTCAGAGATTTGGCATCCCTCAAATACCCAACGGTTCAAAACCGGTGCCAAAGAGGGGGTTTGAACTGGTGCTTATTTGCCTTTTTCGCCTAGTGACTTGAGTTGAACTCAATGAGGCACCTCCCTTTAGGTGAGAAAACCTCTAAGTTCGTAATACTCTAGTCTTATCTTGGTCTAGCCCCGGCTATCCTCCGGGGTAGAGGCCGTTCGGGTCGGGTCTCGAGGGTGGACTCCGTTGGAGGCTCTCGCGCTTGCGAAGCTAAGGCTTTGAAGTCCGAGATCTAAAGGAGCGAAGCACGCGTCGAGGGTAAGAATGTCATTTCCCTTTCTCTCTTTTATGTTGTTAATTATGTGATTAAATATTTAATTGCTTTAATTAGTGAGCGTGGTCTTGGGCGGGTTTCTCTTCCGTGTAGCTTTGGACACTACGAAACCCAATAGCGGTATCGGAGCCGCGCTCACTTTAATTATTGTGACTAATAATTAATTAAGGTGATTTAAACTGGATATAAATTTCTAGTTGTGCTTTCTAATTGGATTAGAAGCTCGTTTTAATTAGTTTTAATCTCATACTTTTCCTAATTTTAATTGGCCGACAAACCCAGATTTCGACTCAAAAATAGTTATTTTTGGGTGGAATTAATGTTCTTAATCGTTTCTGACCGTTTAAGGGTTTTCCAGAAGCCAAAATCCGCCCAGAATTATGTTTTACGAGGGGTTTTTCGTTTTTGACGAAATTTTTTAAATCTTTTAACCTTGATTGTGAAGGTAGATTAAATGTATGGTTGCATCCCTAATCTACTACAATTATAAACCTCATTAAGCATGTTTATGAAGTCATAATTGGTGCTTAATTTGGTATGTTCATTTTTCACATAAACTTGATTTTTTCACATTGTTGCAAACAAATTGCCTCAAGTGTGAGTGTTTTTATAATTTTTGAAGTCCCTAATAATTTAAAGATCCAATCTTTAATTGTTTATTTTGTTGGAACTTTGATTTGTTGAACTAATTTTTAGATTTAATCATTTTTGGGTTGATTAAATCCTAAAAGTTCAAAACTTGTTATTGAAATTTAATTAATCTTATATTGGAAGATGTAATTTTTCAATTACACACAAGTTATTGTTGGAAATTTTTCATTGGATGAAAGGTTTTATTTTTTCCAACCTCCTTGTCAAATCTCATTATTAATTTATATTTGATTAAATTAATTATGAGTGTAGCCCTTCAATTTTGTAGCATCAAGATAGACCTAAATTGCTTTAAAGAATGGTTCTTGAATAATTTAGGCTTGTGCACTATTAAATTTGAATTTAATTAAGTTGGACTTGTTTTGTTTTCATTTTGCTCTAAATTGATTCTAAAATAAATTTAGTATTAATTTTATGTCACACATATATCGGGAATAAAATCCCGAGCCAAGTGCACGCAAATCGAGGTAAATCGCCCAAAATGCACTCTTGGGCTAGCCGGGCTGCTCATAGCAGCCCACATGTGGCTGCCAAGGTGTTTTGTGGGCTGCCATGCTTCGAGGGTGTGCTGATGTGTGGTGGGCTGGGTGCATGTTGTGTGTGTGCTTGGTGCGTGGTGCGTGGCTGTTGGGAGATACTTGCGAATGCTGCTGGGCAGCAAGGTATGCGAGCCCCAGCAAGCCCAGCCACTCGCTGCAAGCGCCAGCATGATGCGTAGCATGCTGCTGGTGCCAGCAAGCGTGGCGTGCATTGCTAGACAAGCATGCCAGCACCCCAAGCACGCAGCCCACACTCGTTTTTTGGGTGGGCCGTTTTTGGCATAGTGTTGGGCTATTGTTTCTTGCGTAATTTTTGTCGGTTTTAATTTTAATTTTATTTAATTTTTTTAACGAGGCTAGGCCTCGGTTCTTCCGGCTCTTGCAAAATATTTTTGACAAAATTTGGATTAACTGACTTAATTAATAGGATTAATTAAGTTCGATGCGGAATTTAGTGGGAGCTTCGTTAATTGCATGAACTAATTGCGTTTTAATCACATAAAATATTTAACAACTTTGACTAGTTTTAATTAGGCGCGTTAATTGGATTAACCACCTAAGTTAGTTACTAGTTTACGCGTGTTATGCATTGTTACTTGTTTTTTGTTGTAAAATGCATGGGCCATTCACATATAGTGAATGGATGAATGGAATGTATATATTGTTTCACAGGTTTCGTGAAAATGGCAACTAGTGGGGCCTGAATAGGATAGTAAATACGGACTGCGATCCGTTATGTATTTTTGTAAATCTAAATACGGTCTGCGTATCGTTACGTATTTTTTACCTTAATATTTAGATTATTCCTAGTCATAGTAGCTAGTAGATGCTTAGTTGGCGGAGATGTCTTGAAGACGGCGCTTCTGAGAAGACAAGTTAAAGAAGTTGCATCGGAGACCCTTGAAGATTTGAAGACTCAAGGGGTCATGCTAGTTGCCAAAAGCATCTTTTACTTATGTTTTATATATAATTGTGTTTATATATATGATTGAATTATATGATAGATGCATGTTTAGAATTTTAAATGTTGCGATGATTAATTAAGTTCACTTAAATCAACCAACATAGAAACCCTAGGTCCCTATAATATTGAGCCAAATTTGCCATTCCAAGAACGACACTTACCGAACTAATGCACGTGGTGATGGGCTACGCCAAAGGGAGGCATCACCGCTTCCCTAGGAACGTAAGGTATACTAGGTATACAAGTCGTCTTGGTTAAGCTCAACGATATCAGTAAGGAGTCCTTAGATATCGTGGAAATGGAGATAAAATGTCAAAGAAGCATTAGATGCGACGTATTATCGAACCAAGAGTAGCTTAGATCTATTAGCAATTGGATTGCTTACCCTAAAATATTAAGTGTTAAGACAAGCCAAAGCATGCTTAATCACTTTCTGATTTTTGGGATCTTGGAATCTTTTTATTCTCGCCTAAAAGGGACAGTTTTTTTTAATGCGTGGATAAGACGCGTAATAATATTGAAAGTTTACATGTATGCTTTGAATTTCAAACTTATTATGATATGAACTTGGTAAATGGTTATACTTTGCACTTATATTTGTAGAATTCTAAATCAAATTATATTGTTTTCAATGATTGGTAAAGGAAATTTTTTGAGAATGGTTCTCAAAGAATGGAAAGACATTTCTAAAATACAACCTCTCATAATTGACTTTTATGATTTAAGTCCGAAAGGACGGTTGGACAGGGTAGTTTTGATGAACATGAAATATTGAGTTGAAAAACTCAAATTGTCAATAGTTGACAACCAACATATCTTTTCGCTTCATACACAAATGAGTAGTACTCATTGATGTAGCAATTCAAGTACGAATTGAAGGAAAAGATGGAACTTTGTTTCACGGCGCATTAGATGCTTAATTATGCCTAACAAAGTGTAAAAGTCAAGGCACTTACAGAAATGGTTCTTAAAGTTATGAGATGGTGTATGATAAGAAATATGGGAAACAAGGAACAAAAGAAAGGAATAAGATTCTTTTTCTACCCATGTGTTCATGTTATTATGGTCAACTTAGCAATTCGTTATCTTCATAAGTATTGGATACTGCTTGAGTGTTTCGCTTTGAAAGTGACCTCAAACCACTGAAGACAAGCTAAGTTATTGACTTACAAGCTTAAAATGAAGCAAGTAGTGCTGCATCAGCTGTAAGGTCACTTGTTTTGTTTAAAGTCCTTTTGAGCCAAGGCTGGAACGAATAATGGTTATTGTGTTCCATAATCAGCAAACTATCTGTTTACACACGGAAAGAATCACATTCAATAAAAGATCAATAGTTACGGGTTTTATTTGAATTGCATGGTTGTCTAACCCATGAGTCAAGAATGCATGATCATAAACAAAAATTTCCCTGACATGAAAACTCAAAAGTTCAAATCATGGACATGATTTGTGTTCCAAACATCTTTAGCTATGTCACATTGACAAGAACATACTCAAGGATCTATTAGATAGACTCTTGATAGTTGAATGATTCGGAATCGTTCTAAGACAAGCAAGTCTTACTTGTTGTAATTGACAAAGAAAAGAGCTATTGTGCTTGGCATAGACTAGTGACTCCAAAAGCTAAAGAGGATTCCATTACTTCAACGTCTCACAAGAATTTGAAAGAATGTTGCTACATTCATCAAATGTGAACAAACTGGACCTTGAGTAGCTCAAATGTTCAGTGAAGTATAGAATCGACTTGGCAAGATATCAAAACGTCTAGATTAGATCGAGCGATGTTTGCTTGAGCCAAGAGTGATTATATCAATCTTATGAAATTAAAATTTCATAATGAGCTCCACAAAGAATATAGTATGTCTTAACGGAGACCTCAATGCCATTTGGAAATAACTCGAATGATGATGGATCACATCCCTTCCTATAAAGTTCTTAAAGATTTGCACAAATGACTAATGTTACACTAAACAAAATTGTCGAAGCTATGAAAGGACACCATATTCAGTTACGGATAGAAATAGTTTCTAGCGTCTTTTCAAGTATATGTCTAGAACTCTTAGCTCAGTGGGAGTTGATTGGCTCAGTGGGAGTTCATTGACTCAGTGGGAGCTAAATGGCTCAATAA